GCCTGCGGTGATGCCATGGAGCATTCACATGATAGGGGCGAGTGGGCTCCTCAGTCTCTTTGCTTTCCCCCAGTTACTGAGCCCCAGGCCCTCCAGGCTGCCTTCCAACATGGAAACACGCTTGTAGAACATAAGCACCAGGTAACTCAGTCTGGAACATTAAACCCAACTTGGTGAACATAAGCACTCGAACAACCAGCCACACATCTGCTTGCTGTAATACACCCTTCCAGAGAGGCACACGGTACAAAGAAGCCCCGCACAGACTGCCCTCCCTTGCTTTTTGTGGGTCACATTTGTGTGCAACCCCTGGCGAGGATCTCCTCCCCAATGAACCAAACTGGGCGGTCCAGGAGAGCAAGGGCACTTCTCCGCTACCACAGCATCCCTTCAGAAACAGCAGGCACAAGCAAAGAACCGCAGACGGAGGGGCGGGGGGAGGAGGGCAGGAAGCAGCAGCAGAAGAGCCTCTTTGTTAGAAGATTTGATGGTAGGCACTGGGGTTTCCCCCAGAGCTGCAGACCTACCTTTGAAGCCTGCTGCCGCCTGTGAGGCCTGGCCCACACCCCCTACGCAAGCCAGCTCACATACGCATGGAGGAGGAGAGAGAGGAGGACATCTATTTACCCAAGCTCAAGGTCTCCTCAGCGATCAATAACCTGATCCCATGTCCCTTCAGTTCGGCCTTTGTCCTGCACCGTCCTGCCGCGATGGGTCAGCACACCCCATAAAATGGCTTTTTTCTTTTCTGAAATGGAGGTTTTGGAGGCTTGCAGGGGGAGAAGATCTGCAGGCTGAGCAGGGGGAGCCTGGAAAAAGTCAGGGTAGGAGCACCTCCAGGTGTGCAGAGAAGAACGACCCAGGAGGATGGCACAGATAGCTTACGTTGTCCTCCTCGGGGGACAGGGAGTTGCTGAGCAACTGCTGTATTTCTTAGCTACCCTCCTTGGTCCCATTGGAGGGAGAGGCAAAACGCAGGGCGTGTGGTCCCCAGCACAGGGATGGAGCAGACGCTGGCTGGTAGGTGTAGATCGCTTGAACGAGAGAAGATGGCAGTACACAGGGGGTCCTGTTACGACAGTGGTCATGCAGATGAAAGCAAAGCACAGTGTCTCTCAGACCTGACCTGCAAGACTACCTCTGGTCTTCTTGCACTTCTCGCTGCATAGTCTCCCAACACCGGGCTCCCCGCAGTCCGTTGCACCACCACTCACCCCTCCCTGCAGCATCTGCTTCTCTTCTCGCCCCAGGTCCTCCTCACCTACCTTGCCTGCACCGCCTGCTTACAGCCCCGCAGCTCTGTACGTGCCCCTTTGTTTCTCACAAAAAGCAACCACGCTCCAGTTAGACCAGAGTAAACAGAATTATTCTGTCAATAAATGGGTGGAGGGGATGGGGACACGGACGACTCCTGACCTGGGGCTGAGGTCCAGCCAGTGGCATTGGCCAGGGGCTGAGCTCATTTGGGCTGGGGTTCGTTTGGGCTCATTTTGGCAGCTGGGCAGGGATAACTGCTTTCAGCTCTGCCTCTAGTTCAGGTTTAGTCTGGGACTGCATGAAGACCAAAAGCCTTTGCTGTAGTTGCCTCCGTGTGAATTCTAGTAGATAAATGTTAAATGTGGATGAAAAGCTGCAGTGTTTGACTGGGAATGTGTCAGTGTGGTTATTCCAACTAACTCATTGCTGTATATATAGGAAACTGAGGCATGCAATGACAATAAGAAATGTTTTCAGAACAGCTCGAGAGATTTAAGAGACCAGATTTCACTTTTAAGGGTTACTTTGAGCCAAAATTTTCCCAGATAACTGGGCACTAGCTGCATCTTTAGGCATGTGTGTATTCATATATGGTTTTCCCAAGTTTACACTATGAAGTCTTGCCACAGTGGGACAGAACCCAGCTAAGAGTATTTCCCAGTGCCAGAGACCTTACTTTTTCATATCCAGCTTTCCTGGAAAGAAGCATCCTCCTTCTCTGGTGTTTTCAGCAGAACAAAAAATATAGAATCTCAATCTGATCTATCTAAGCAAGCATACCACATCTGTCACCGCAGGCTTTTGAATCAACCAAGGCCCCAAAACCTTGATCAGATTTGACTTCAGAGGAATTCCTTTACTGCAAGTACCCTCTACTTTCCGATTCTCTATCGTAAAAAAAAGGAAGGGATGTGGAAGGGGGATGAGAGTGACGTTGCCTATTTACGAACAAAGTATCTTGGAAAGATGGAAATGAGAGATGTGACAGTTCTCTTTGCTGTCTCCGGACTTAAGAGAGGACTCATGTCTGTGGCTATTAGCTCAATATTTTCCACACAGTGCTGGCGTTCAGCTTTGGTTTGCCTCTGGTACTGATGGACACCATCGTAGCATCTTTCTGTGGTTTTGTGAACCACACACCATGCATTTGCATTGGCTTGAGAGATCGGACCCCAGTGACATTTCCGAAGAGCTCTTGAGTACCCAGCAGAGAAAGGGCCCCGTATCACTGAAAGCGTTACGCCTTTGGTATTCACAACCTGGGTTACTCACATATGAGACCACATGATCTTGTCTTCCTGGAAGAAAGGTCCGGTTATCGACAGATCTGATGTTGAGCACTTCCTGCTGCAGTGTGTCACACATTCACACCCAGCGTGGCTGCAAATGCCCTGCTAACAGCTTGCCAGCTCGAAAACTGTCAGCGTTTTCACAAGGGGGATGGAAAATACTGAGCCAGCAGGATGGTCCTCAACGACTTGCAGCAGGATCACCTCCAACTCTGCTTTCGGTTTAGGTCCCCTGGGGAAGGGAGTAGGAAGGAAAGCTAAAGGTATATTTGTCTGAGCAAAGCTTTGCCTAGTCCCCTATTTAGAAAAGCTGTTAATCCTTTCCCTCCACCCCAAAGGACAGAAAGCCACACTAGATTCCTTAGTATTTCTTTTATTTACAAAGGGGTAATTTTTTTTTTTGTACTCTTCTTAGCAGCAAGAATAATTCGAAAGCTTATGAACATCTGCATTGGATGGATAACCATCAGTACCACTAGGATCCTTGGCCCATGTAAAATAGCAAGTTGCCCATCAAGGGCAAGGGATTCAGTGTCTCTTTTTGAAGTCCATCTGGGAAGATTCTCAAAGTAGAGCAAACAGCTAGGAAGCCTTGTACTTCCTTATCTGGGAAGCTGTGGGATCTTCTTCACCTGTTGTCCCCTGGAGATAACAGAGCAGTCCATGTCTTGATGCAGGTGGTGAAGAAGCTGATGAGAGAGGTGTAGCTCCCCCAGCCCCCTCAGCTGCAGGCAGATGCAACTTCTTTGAGCAGATCTTTTGAGGTGAAATCCAAGTTAGTGGGTGACCCTGTAGCTCATAATGACATATTCAGGCTGCGTAATGCAAGGTCAGGTAACAGTGTGGGAGCAGGACAAAGGGGAAACTCGATGGTTCCCCTCGACAGGTGACAGAAGTACCAACAATTTCGATCTCCTTGACCTTTTTGATATAAAAATTCTTAGAAGAAAGATCTTTAGCACAGGGCTGGTGTTTTCCTACTGCTGAATAGTGCAGAAATATGGCAAGAAAGCAGACAGACAGTACAAATGTTGACCGCAGGGATGGATGTAACCAGAACACCTTGTCTTCCTTTGCCTTGCCACTTTTCTTCTGTGGTGTGCTGCTTTTTCTCAACCCAGATCAGCAAATGCAGAGGAAAGAGAGAAAAAAAAAAAGTCTTTGCTATCCTCATTCTTTGTGAGTGGATTGAGGTTTTCTTTTTAGCAAAGGTGCTGAATCGTGGGTTAGTTTTCTGGGCTCATTCACCACATCTTTGCCGCTAATTAGGCAATGGTTTCCCTTGAGCAATGGAAGGAATGGGCAGCACTGTTGCGATGTTTTCCACTAATACAGGATGTGGGATGAACTATTCTGCAATCAGCTTATCGTAGTCAAATAACTGCATTTTGCCAGCAGGGCAGAGAGGCTTTCGATTTCATGAAAAATATTGCAGCAAGAATGGGAAATTGTGTGCGTTCTTTTTACTGCCATCATCAGACCTGGGGGAAAGAAGGCAGGAGGAGGGGATTTCCCCAGTATTTTTAACCCAATAATGGGGATTTCTTTTTACACTGCACTGCTTAGACAGCTGACACAGTTGTGGCTCTGAGCTGAGCTTAGAGACTAGAGTCTAAACTTGGATCGAGTAGCTCAGAATATAATCTCTGATTAAAACCTGAAGTGGGGACATCACAGAGATACCTAGACCCTTGGTCAGTCAGGAGGAGACGTCTTCATCCATTTCATATCAGCCCCAGCACCAACTGGCAGTGCTACTGTCCCATGTACAAAAACTCGTATCCACCTCTGCAGGCATTTCTCCCTCCCATTACAGGTTTTTAGGCTGGGATGAGGCAAATGGACCATGTGCCTGCTTATCCTCAGAGCTGAGTACTATTTTACACCAAGATGTAGAGCATGGAAGCGCTGGCACAGCATCCTACTGGGAGCTGGGGAGGTAAAAACAAGCTGGTGAGGTTTGGGATGGCACTTGAGCAGTGCGGGAAGGGGTTTCTATGCCATCGGATCCAGTAATGGCAGAGAAACAAGTTCAATTATGAAGACGAGTCCTTGTTGGCCTGTATGCCTAAGAATCAGACTTCTACATCTCCATTAGCTGTGTAGCCACTGAGCAGCTTTAACATGCCTTTATCATTCTCCATGTGTTGCTTTACTGTCCACCAGCCCAGTTCTCCACGCAAAATGTCCTCTCATTTCCAGTGATCTGTTTCACTAACACTTTACCTTGGGAACTGGTGCTACCCATGTAGCTATCCACGAATTTACACCTTGTCCATCCTATCCCTTTTCTGGTTTTGCAGCCCTCTAGAGTGTGTTCTCTAGCCTCATTAAAGAACATTCCCCGTGGGTTTGATGCTGAAGTCATGTTCATGTCCTGAATAGAAAAACTGTCCATCTAGCTGTCCTTGCAGAGAAGGCCTTTCCCACCTGTGGGTTTCCTCCAGGCAGATCCTAGATGGAGCAATGGCTGTACTGGCTTTGCAGGTCCCTCAGAGAAAGGTAGGCACCAGTGTTTGGGACCTGGCTGGAGAAGGCTGCTCTGCATGGATCCTCATCCTGGCTTTGCCTTAGAAGTGGAGGCTGAGAGAAAGATGAGATAACATGTTCTGCTGGTGTACAGGGGTCAATCAGAGGGCCTGCATTCCCACTCCCCACCGCTCCATTGATAGCATCGCTGTCATGCAGGTCCGGTGGGTCAGGAAAGTCAGTGTCCAGCTGGCACATGGCCTCAGCAGGTTGTAAAGCTGCTTTGTCCATCACCTTCTCATCCTGTTTCAGAATGGGTGTTGGTGAGGTGCCTTCACTAGACTGGAGAGCCCCAGAAATAGCCATGGCCTGCTGAGCTTCACCTTCTGTCTCTTCCATGAAGGAGCTGTTTTGGAAGCCCCGGGTCTCCTTGATACAGTGAAGGAAGTTGTGGGACAACACGGGCATGTCCTCTGCCAGCGTGCAGAGGTCTGGGGAGGGGAGAGCATGGTAAGACTCGCCATCCTCGCCGCTGCTGCCTTCCTGGGTGAAAGGCTCATAGGTGAAGTAGACCTGACAGGGCTCAATCTCAAAGGAGTTGGGAAGGTGGAAGAAGAAGTAGCCTTGGTTGGTGAAGCAGCTGGATGCAGAGTGCCCACTGGTTTCTAAGGGAGGATCAGGAGTCAGGGGTCCCTTGGAAAGTAGAAACTGGGATTCCTGGTCACTCTTCTGCATCACCTCAAGCACGGAGATCTCCGGGGTTGTGCTGTTCACACAGTAGGAAGATGTAGAGAATGGGGAGGAGAGCCATTTCTGATGGGGAAGAAACACAGGAAAGAGACTGTTACCTCCAAAGTATAACACTCAGTGAGGAACCAAAGATTTCTTCTCCTGAGCGCCCACAACAATCAAGTGACCTTTTCTCTGTCCAAGCAAGAGTTACTGGAGGTGGTGGGGAGGGAAATTCACATTCATGATGTCTTATCTGCAGGATTTTCAGAAAGAGTATATCTTTCTGTCACTTTTAAATCAAGAGTGGATCTTGCAAGCCTATGTTTTGAGATTTCTGAAGGGGGGAATGGAAAATGGAGGATTAAAGTGAAGGGAAGGAAAAAAAATTGCAAGACCATAAGATGAACTGAAGATAGAAACATGAAAAGCAGTACTGAGATGCCTCTCATGCAATCTCTTCCTAGGTGCTGAACCAGTTTCTGATACATCTACATGGCCCTATGCAGATTTCTTGCCTAAAGTGCTCTTCCAGGCCCCTTGTGCCTAGATTTCCATACTCACCATGAGTCACATCGTGCAGTGCATCATTATCCTTAAAAATAAACTGGTTTTGATAACATTCAACTTCATTGCCTTTATGGCCAGTAAAGTAAAATTTTCTCATTCTTTCTGCACTGAGAAAGTATCTTCAGTGCCTGCTGCACACCCCTGCCCCCCTACTCTGCACTCTTCCCCATCGGTTTAAGCTTTCTAAGGCTTTTTGCACTTAGGCTTTTCCTCTGGACCCTCTGCAGTTTGTTTCCATCCTTCTTAAAGCAAGATGCCTCTTGGGATCACCTCCCACGTCTTGCATCTGACGCTCCCTTTAATACTGCACAGAATAGTAATTGTCTCCTTGCAGCTGCCCATAACTCACGGAGAGATTAGGGGAAGGGAGAAAGTGGGGGTGGAGAAAAAAGGGGAAGAGACAAGCAGAATGCCGAAAACAGCTAAGTGCCATCCAGCGTAATGGCAATTCACATTAGGAGCAGAGGAAAGGCTCAGAGCCAGGAGGAGGGGATCACAGCAGGAAATCTAGGGAAGAGATGGGCAGCCAAGGGCAGTCAGGGAGGGACCAAAGTGCGGTGAAAGGGGATCTGAAAGGCCAAGGTCCCTCCAGTAGGTCCCTTGTTTTTCCTCAGGCTCCCCGTTAGGGGAGCAGGGTGCTGAGGTTTGTGTGGTTTGCCATTTTTCGGTTCTGTAATTAGAAGTGCCTCAGCCGAGTGTCAGGTTTTAGAAGGTCAGAAAATAAAACTCGAGCAGACAACCCAGCAGCTCATGCTACAGGCACGTGTCATGTGTGCACATGTAGGTCTGATGACTGGCGGTCTGTCCCAGGCGTGTGCAGCTGGACCCTCCTTTCCCTCATTTCTCCCTCATGGCTCCATCCCCGGTCCCATACCTGAATGTCACCTCCATGAACCGAAACGAGTGGGGGAAAGAACTTTTCGGGGTCTGGGATGTGAATCTTCAGGATCTTCTTAAACCTTGAGAAAAGAGAATGAGAAGCTTTTTCCTGATCCTGACCAACCTGGCACTGTGGTGGGGGTAGGAGAGAGCATCACAGCTCATGGCTACTACCCTGGCATGGGGGAGAGGTAAAATAAGAACAAGCCTCAGAGCTTTCCTTGCTCTTGAGTGGCCTGAAACGAAGTAGCTGGGGGATGCGCGGTACAGAGGTGAGCCATTAAACCTGGCATTGGAAAATACGCTGTCCTCAGCCTTTTACCTGGGGAAGCACAACCAGCAGTTCACTGGTTTCTTCCCTGCCTTGGCTGGTCACCTTCACTTCTCCACCTGCCCCCTTAAGCCCCTGTCCTTATGACAAGCTGGACACGTCTCCCTTGTTTCCAGGCTCCAGCTGCCGTGAGCTGCCCCCTCTTTGCTTAGCTGCCACCATGACGACTCAGAGGACCAGATGGCCTGAGCAGGACCATCACTGGCAAAGCTGTGCTGCAACTCTCTGCCCTGTTAGCAGGATGCTGCATGGTACAGCTTAGGACACGCTGGCCATGCAAGCCATCCAAGTATGCCCTGCACCAGTCCAGAGGCCTCTACTTTACTGGAACCAGTGTGTTGTCATCCTGAGGCAGCATGAAGTGATCTAATCTGCTCCTCACTGCCTCAGAGAGGTTGGCTGATCCTGTCAGCTCTTTGCTGAAGCTTTGCTGTGGGATGCTCTGAGGAAAGACCCTCTTGACCTCTGGAGGCAATCAGTGTACTCTCTGAAGCATCAGAATTTGCTAGTTCTTGCATATAAACTACCTTACAGCACTGCAGATGCTATTTTTAGCCATGCATGTCTAATCCTTCCTTGGGTCTTACCTCAGCATTATCCTCCATCCAATTCCCCTAGGTTAATTATACTTTGTGGACAAAGGAGGCTTATTTATCTCTCAGTGCCATATAGCTAGCACTTCCTTATCTTTGCATTATGACTCAAGGTAAAACACAGTGACCAGCGACTTTCGCAGTATCCATCTTCCTTCAACACGCTGCTGCTTCTTTCCTTACAGAGAAGCCATCCAGCCTCTGCTGCCTCATCCTCGAGAATATTTCTCCCTGCTCCCTGCCGTGAACATCAGCACCCTGCTTCTTTGCCCCTGTCCTGAGATGAGAAAACCTGTGGCCATTTCGAACTTCGCCATGCTGCCAGGTCACTCTCCGCATTATTGTGCGGGGTAACCTTATGAGTCACTTTCAGTCCTGAATAAAAACAGTGCCCGGGTAGAAACGCTGGCAAAGAGATCTTTAAAGCATCATGTAGATGTTTACCAGCACATGATCAGACACTTCAGGACTGCACAGACCAGGGAGAAGAAGAATTGTACTCCTCACTCAGGACTTTTGCCTACATAACAAATGTCACCGTGTCCTGCCTGAGTTCTGGAGTGTTTAAATGAGAAGGTAGTGGTACCTGGGCTTGCTTGGACCTCTCTATTGAGGGAGTACTCAACCCAGTGGCCTACTTTTTAAGAGGAAATTTTGGTGCACCCCTGCCAGGGAATGCCGCTCTAACCCCTGGGCAACAGAAGTGCTGAGGCGGCTTTTTTTAATTGAGCCAGGGCATGGCACCAGGTCACAGCAGTGTGGCACAATACAATCATGGTGGTGAAACCGCTTCATCTTGGGTGGCGGGTATGTTTCCCCAGACAAATATCAGCGTTAAAAGGTTGGGCTATAAACCATATTTTTAAGTCATTCTCTATCCTGAGTAACACCAAGTAAAAAATAACCCAGGTTTTGAGAAGACACACGAGATACAGGAGAAGAACAGAGAGGAAAACTTGATTCTCATTTACCATTTCAGGGTCCGTAAGTTAATAAGGAAGGCAGTCCCAATAATCACGAAGATGCAAGTGCTCACGATAAGAGCTGGCAGGACTGGCCGGGATGTTTCTGCAAGATGAGAGAGAAGAAGGGAGTTGCTGTGAAAATTTAGCCACGATTCTGGAGGCAGGATCTGCAGCCCTTCTGTGGCTGTTCCAGATGATCAAAGTGGACCTTTACTATAATTTTA